AACGACTGGAATATTTGTGTTACCTTATCCCAAGAAAAGTTACTATGGGAAAAGAGTGAAAACAAAGAAAATACAGTTATTTGATGATATATATAATTCTCTAATGAGACTGTCAAAATTCTATTTTATATATGTGTGTACCATATGTATAACAAATGCGATTATGTCATTTTGAAAAATATGTTAGTGTAAAATTGTTTCCTCCAATTTCTATTAACGTGATTGTTAAATTTAAAAAGAAACGTATGACATGCCTAAGTACTGTTTTTTCGAATTTATGTTTCACGTGTGTTTTAACCCAAAATTCGCAGTTTAAGAGTCTATCAGTATTTTCAAAAGCGTACACTAAAGCATTTTGAGGGGTTAACAACGACGGTCATAAACAAACTGTATTCTGTTGTACAGCCATGAGAATACTGACACACTAGAAGTCTAATCTTAATCAACTTTTGTCAACTCACAAAATTTTCATAAGATAGTAAAACGTTTTAATCCTGATGCCTTTTTTTGTTGATTTTATTTCTTCTTCATATTCATACCGACATTATTAGTTCTATAATCATGCTTTTCCGCTCGTAATATCTTTCTGACTTACAGACATACATGGAATTTGTACTATAGCTAGCTATAAATGTAAACGAACGTTTGTATACATAATGATACAAGAACATATGAATTGAATGTTAAGGCACTTGTCCATTGTTGCAACTCATATGGTGACACCCGAAGGTCTATATTGATTTACTCGTATTGTGGCGTTACTGTCTTATTGACGTTTGTCTCACATGTCATTCGTTTATATTTTGATGAATGCTTTAATTTCCGCATCTAAGTTCTTCAGAATATTACTGCCAAACTGTATACTTCATGAAAGTTGTGTTTTCTGAAACCAAAGCAGTGAACTGAAATTGATATAACAAGTCAGGAACAATAAAGAAATTGTTATTCCAGTGTAAACTACGTTTTACCATTTTGAACACTTAATTTGCACAGCAGGAACATTTCGGAATTGATTTTCTTTTAAGGTGAAACAATACCTGTTAAACGTGGTATACGGCGATATACGCACTTACCCTAACGGGAAGCCATTCTGATCGTGAATATTTTCTGAGATCGTTTTTATACATTATAAAAAGCATAGATGCATGCAGTGATGTTTTCGTTTGCATCTTAGTTCCGATTCTAAAACTCCACGATGTAGACAAATTAACGAGTTAAAAGTTAAAAACTTTCTCTATATAATTGTATACAGAATCTTTACGCATCGTCTGGCTAGAAAAAAATAGCTATATGAAATTTTACAAATATCATTTGCTGCATTTAAACCCTAGGTGTCTTAAATTCCATCGAGTGAAAATTCGTGTTCTTAAGAGGATTACATTTGGAAATCCTATGTTTATTCAGAAAATGTATTGTTGCGTTGCGTACCAGTTACCGTTTCGAAAAACATTACAATAAAAGCTGAAACATAGCCGGCCAGGTGGTCAATCCGGTTTAATTCAGCCTTGAAATAGACAACCAATGTTCTTTCGGGTGCGTCGTGGTGATGTGGGGATTTGAACCTAAAAATCGCATTAACAACAATTTGATTAGAATTAACTTGAAATTTACTTAAAATATATCATGTTGGTAAGAGTTAAGCTGACCGAAGTTTTCAATATGATTAAAAAGAACCCACAGCTCCATGTAAAAGCGTTCCGTTGCCATAAACAAACTTACGGTATCATAATATTAAACTCTTTTCACGCGCACCTGTTAATAAGTCATAATATCGATATTTTCTTCAATAAAAGTGGTAATAACAACACACGTGTATTTTATTGTAGCAAAATAAGAAAATAATTTTTGTAAATCTTGGAAGCTCGTGGAGTAAGTATCAGTTTGAAGTACACGCAGTAATAATATTTTGTCGAAGCAGCAACGTTAAGATCCTTAGGCCAACACAATACATACGTTTCGGACGAGTACAGGTTGAACAATAAATAAAATCATAAACTCAAAAGTTAAATAAATGAGAATGTTACAGAACAATGCAATGACAATATATTAATTTTTGCTGGGAATTTGGATTGAAAAATTGATAGGGACAAGTAATCTATACAGGCCTCAAGATGCTACCTAAAGAGTAGTATACATGGATGTATAAACATGGTTTTGCGTTTTTCGTGACCATACATGTGTTTTTATGTACATTACGAATTTTAAATAGCTTCTGATCATTACATGGTTTATGCTTCTTCCATATACTGCCCATATTCAACATGTTGAATATTCTTTTTTAATCACAATTGAATATCCTAGCCCATTTTGTGAAATAACACGGTAATGAAAATGTGTATAAACCGGATACAAAATTCATTAAGGCCTTTGTTGTTTTCCGAAATAAAAATTGTTGTTTCAATTTTTAAAGCAATAAAGACTAAAGTCCTTATAACGTTTTCATAAACCTGAAGTAGTAAAGTAAACATTTATGTTAACCAAAGTCGATTAAGGACTTAAATAATAATGAATGGATGATTTACTTTTAAAAAGCACGGATTTGTATACAAAAATTGTATAACGGGAAACATTTGTGCAAATAGCACTTTTATATCAATAACGCCATATTGACCAAACAGTTCGATGTTTTTCCTATTATTTTACTATTTCTCCTATACCTTATTGTTCGAAACATTTTGCTGACGGCGATTTACGTGACTTTATTTTCTAATACTTTTGTTTGGAATTTCTATTGCCGCTATTCGCACCTGCCTGGAAGGAAGTTTTAGATGGTCAATAATAATTATTTTATGTTTTTCTTACCATTTTAATCGCATTTGATCTTTTCATACATTTCAACAACAAATCTTTGTTTATTATCTAAATCCAAGTAACAATAAAATCTGAAATCTAGACCGGAACGATCATGAAAAGTGAAACGTACAAATGTAACTGTCAATGGTCGGTAATCGTTAATAGTTACGTCTTTTTCAATACCAATGCCTATAGGTATATCTAACTTCGTCCTACTATTGTTGTACCACCTCGGTGTGGGGTAATTTTATAAGTACCATGGTGTCAAAAAGACCCGTATCTACTGTAAAAAGAACTCAACTCTGCTTTTTATCTGTGATGTCAAGATGTTCGGTGTTTTATTTCGGATGACAATATAATTATAGACCATTTTAAACTTTCCCGTTTTACATATGTAGAATGTTTTGAGACTATGTCAGTACATAAAGCCCACCGTTGAGGCGTGCTGACTCAGGCCTCTCTAATTGATGATATGTTATTTTAACACACCTGGCCATTCTTACAGAACTTGGATAGAATTCTTGTCTTGTTTACCTATGTGCCTCTCTACAGTGATTACATACGGCAACAATAGAATACGTTACATCTGTCACAAAAGGTTCATGGGTGTTTCCAAAGAAAATTCTACTTTGGCATCCTTGCAAATGATAATTTTTGAAAGAAGAGAATTTCAATTCTCAGGTTTTCTCTTTACTAAAATACAAATGTATAGACAGAATATAGCCATAGGTCAAACTTAAATATTATGATTCAAACATCTTTTATCTTCAGACATCTACAATGTATTTACAATAAATACTGTCTTGCCCTGATATTTAGGTGCAAAATTAGCTTTGTTTTGAGATAACTCTGAGCGTATTAGAAATTCATGACCTGATATTTCACTAGTTTTGTTTACAGCTAGTACACTTGTTAAACAATTCCTAAATTGGTTCAAAATGAGGAAAGCCTATAGGATTTAAGGACGAATATGTATACTTCATTCACTTCGGAATAGTAGTCTATTCATGTTTCACAGATACTTTATGCCAAATCTTTGCAACATTATATTTAAAGTGCCATGTGCTTGACACATTTCTGGTAGATCATATCGGTTTCTTGACACAATAACATTTGTGCAGTTGGTCTTTGTTATGGCTGAGGAGGCCATAGAAGTAATGACACCGACGATGTAGCACTTCTTGTAACGTGAAACTTTGTTTTTATTCAATTTAGATTATAAAATATCCTACACTTTTGTACTACTTCTATGGTGTCACGTCTGTTTCAATTTTGAGTAAAAGAAAGCCAGTATTCTGCCTATCACAATATGAAAAGTTAACTACAAAACACTTCCTTGTTCTTTTTTTTCTTTTCATTTTGATCAATGTTTTTACGTTAACAATGTTTTCTGTAAGTTTACTTCTGTCTTGACATGAAATATTATTGATATGTTCATTTGCTGGAAATTTACTGTTTATAAAATGCCGAATTATTCAAAATACTAAGGATTTTCTACCCCTAGGAAAAGATTGCCGTATAGTAAGTTGTATTTGGTACAACTTTGAAACCATGACACGTTATATTTGATTTGGCATTCTATCTGATTTGATTCGAGCGCCATTGATGGGTCTTATGCAGACAGAACGCGCGACACTGGCGTACCAAATTATAATCCTGGTATCTATGTAACCGGAATAATTCAGTCCCTCTCCGTGATCGACTCCTCCATTCGCGAGTGTAGCCATCGTAGAGCAGCGGAATATAACGACTGAATTATTCAGGTTAGGTATCTTTGGTGAGTTTTTACAGTGAATAACTTAGATGGCACATGGTCAGTGATGGCACATGGTCAGTGATGGCACATGGTCAGTGATGGCACTGACATATCTCAGAAAATGTAATGTGTTTGTTGGTCATTTTACTGTATTTTAACAAATGTAATTTAACAGTAAAATGACCAACAAACACATTAAATTTGAAATAGTGAAATGTTAGAGATTTTCCTTTAATAATTAATCTACTGCAACATCACCACCATGACAAAAAGTTGTTAAGAATGTAATTTATTATTACCATCTGACAGTTTCCTCCAAGGTAACAAAACCAAAGATAGTATTTGTCGGTTTTCTGTTACTTCTTTAGTTGTCCTTTTGTCTTTTCTTGTTCGTTTAAGTTCTATTTATTTTCATGCAAAATTTTATATATATACATACATACTATTGCAGGTTTGGTTCCAAAATAGAAGGTCAAAGGAAAGAAGAATGAAACAACTAAGTGCTTTGGGAGCTAGACGACATTTCTTCCGGAATCCACGACGTATGAGGGCTTTAAGGGCTGGAATGTCTCCTAGTGAATTAGATGAGGAGATGATGGGAGGAGGACCGGGCTTTGGATATTTTTCGGGTAAATATTTCACTTAATTCTATGCGAATTTGTCTTTCGTGTATGCTATTTGTCGCTGAGGGATTCACGTTTTTTCTTCAAATCAGCCTGATTTCATCAAAAATGCTGATTCTTTATCTCTACTACTATATGTTTTCAAAATTAGCAGAAACATATATTTGTTAGATAAACATAGATCAAAACTTTGAGATTGTATTTTTATTTATTGTAGCCACATCTTTATGTTTTGTTCGAAAATGAATCTGCGACATCTAAGCCTCTATTCATCATGTTAAATGATGGCATGGCTTGGAGATCCTTTAACGATTTTATATCATAAATACGGAACGCAGTTGGGTTGAACTAAGCCAGAGGATTATGAGATTTGGGTATCCATGAATTTTAATGTCAGTTCGAGTGCATCTTAATGACTCTTCAAAGTCCCTTAGGATACTTCGGTTTCTAAAACGCACAAAAAACCATGAAATACAGTATGAATCTTTGACAGAACTAAATCTCAAAACAAAACAAACATGTTTCATTCAAGACCGATCTGCAGTTTTGTAATAAATTGGGAGTTTTAAAAAAAATCAGAATGGTTGATACATTAGTAGTTTTATTGATTTGGAGTTGCAAAAGAAAATCTAAGGGATTTGTAAGATCCCGATGGGATAAGGTTATTAAAAAAACTCCGGAATATATTAAATTTTGTTTGGAAAAGAAGCTTAGCTAGATATAGAGATTGCCATAATTCAGATGACTTGACATATAAGCAAATCGTCCTGATTATCAGATTATGGAACCCGAACAATTTTAAATTATACTTGCATACATGAATTATTTAAGGTAATGAACACATTTTTTTTGCGTTTGTAAAAGGTAATATTGAAGATAAAAAATAGTACCGAATCTGATTTCGAATATCACCTGCTTAAACAATATTATTTCTATTCATGTTTGTATTTACGAAGACAATAAAACGATAATGATAAAAAAAAAATAAAGTTCCAGGGTCCTTATTTCTTCAAGACTTTATATTTTTATGAACGTAAGCATTGCATTATTAATGCCCCTATGCCATGTACGGATAGTTAAACATAGATATAGCACGAGTTTATGGCTTACGCTTCAATAAGATGTTCGGAAATTATAAATATTTTAACAACATTTTCTCTTGACAATTCTTTGAAAAAATCTTTTCTTTGAACAAATTTACTTAGAACACAAAATTCAACGGAATTTTGATTTAATGATGCATCTGTGTATTAATAATGACTGTAAGCTTTGTATCTAAGAAAGTTATCAACAAAAATTATTAAATTTTTCACGAGAAAACAGTTTATTTATGCTTGGAAATATTGTGATAATGTCTTAGAAATTGTGTTTAGTCGATCATAACTTTAGTGGATTCTATAATTCACTTTTTAGTCAACAAAGCTTTGGTAAAAGAAGTAATACGAGGTATAGACACAGAGGTTTTTATATATGCATGCAACACCAAGACTTAAACGATGTAATTTTAGTACACTGAATATACTTTTCATTTATTAGTGTTAGAAATGCTCAAAATTATTTATCTTCATTGTTCAAATGTTACTCATTGTAAATGGATGTTTTATATAACAATAACACAAGTGCTGTAAACACCAAGACCCAGCAACACAACGATACACACTAAACCAAACGACACCTAGACGTACACGTGTAGTCTTCAACATTAGACAAGTGTATAATGTTTTATAAGGCTTCACAGGTCATTCTCCCTAAGAATTAAAAATAAAACAGTACTAGATTTGAAAATTAATCAGTTATGTACGCTATTTTGATTTAAAAAGAAGAATTTCGTCTTATTGGGACAATTTATGGTTCTGTCAAAAAAAATAACCGTTCTCATTAATAATTCATATGTTAAGAGTGCACATATATTACTCTATGAAATAATCTTAATTTAAGCTATCCGTTTAGTATTGTCTTCTCTGTTAGTTTCCTTGCACACAGCTAGTGCCGTCAAATATTTAGATGTGATTTGACAAGCCTTAAAAACTGTTATTCGTAAACGAGCTGTTATGTTCCATTGTATCACAATCTCGGTGATGGAGTGTTTTATATAGAACTGACAATACAGATTAGAAAATTAACCCCATAGGACAGTGACAACTCTATCGCCATAACATCATAAGCTGCAAACTTGACAGTTTTTGTACAGCTTACATTTTTACAAAACCTTCCAACGCGGCGCAGTGTAGAATATCAAACACGATGGTCGGTGATGGATGGTAGGGTTTTATCATCACCGCTTTTCAATGTTTTTGTTGTAACTTTTCTTCTAATGCCACCTGTGGTTTGGAAATATGATATAAAGACTTCTCATTCTTTTACCTTTTGTAAATTTATCTTTAGAAAAACGACACCGAGACCAAATCGCCCAATGCACGATCGCGGAATAACTTCCTTTCGAATGACATAGTGCGCCACAGAAAGGAATGCCGACTGGATATTTTTTCTTGCTTACAAAAATATTCTGATTTATCATGTGGTGATGATCTTTGACAATGACGAATGTTTCAGTCATTATGATCAACAGAAAAGCTGTTCAAATACTCAATGTTCTAAAAGAACAACATGTCCGAGGAAGATTCCAGTTAATCATCGGTTATTGGATAAATCGGGTAACTTTTTTTTGTTTAAGAGAAAAATGGTTTTTTTTTGTTTTTTTTTTTGTCACGTCAGAAGGAAGGAGAAGAAAGTATCGATATACTTTAAGCCTATGAATTGTAGTCATGATTTGACTTATTTTTTATATATATATATATATATATATATATATATATATATATATATATATATATATATCTCAGATTTAAGGTGCATAAGTAATCCTCTAGGCGTTGGAACACTTTATCTGAAGCAATCGTTCTATTTCCAGATCAGGAAAGCACGTGTCAATTTTTTGGGTACGGACAATTGAAAACAAAAATGTGTTTCTATAACTAGAGTCAAACACGATGAATAACAACACTACACATCAGTTGCAGTCTTCACTTTTCTATGTTTTGTTTTTCGTTTTTTGCTATGGCATTGTCAGTGTGTTGTCGACTTATGAGTTTGAATATACCTTTGGTATCTTTCGCCTCTCTCTAAAATGTATGATTATCAAAATGTTTTTATTTTTTTCAGAAAATGGCCAAGAATATTACCCGGGTTACCAAGGTTACAACGACTTCTTTCCTGGTCAAGATGGCGTACCTGGAAATATGAACTTCCTGCCACCTACGTCTCAAGGAACCCCTCCTCTAAATCTAGACCAACCAATGCATCATTCAGGTAAAAATATAAAATTAAAATTTTCAACAAACATTTCTGCTTAAAGACTGTAAAGAAATCCACTGACACATACGTTCCAGACTATAAACATATTAAAGATGAATTGACGAAAAAAAATGCCCATAAAAAGGTTAGACAATCATTCGACTTTTATAGTTTTCCTATCCAATTATAATGTCCTATGGGAAACAAGATAATTTTCGTTTGAAATTACTCCCATGCACACAAGAAGCCATCAAACAGACATCGAATTTCAGCTGAAATTTTATGACGTGCAATCTACATTGGAACTGACTATAACATGGTATAGTTGTCAATTTATTGCAAACCAAATGGTCGTCAGAATGACTCGATCCTATAAAACGTAATTTTGAGTTGCCCCAAAACAGATAAAATATATTTCAATAACCATTTCGTATAATATTATGTTTCTTTTGATTATACTTTGTTATGTTTAAATCTGATGGAATTTAGATTTTTTGGTCATGTTAAAATGAAGTAATAATCCCAAGTAACATTTAAAATAAGTAAATAAGATGGGCAAGCTAACAACAAACGTATAAGAAGACCTTTGTTATGTTAATTAAAACTTAAATTTTCAGTCTCGTCATTAATAACATTTGGAATATTGAACCCGCTAATAACAGAGTACGAATGCGCTAAAAATAAATGTTGAGAGCTGCACTTATCTCTTCATGTCATATCATAAACAATTTTTCGTTATCAAATAAAAAAAATTGAACCAAACTGTCGTCCATGACAAGGCCCTCTATCATTTCACCTTCTTGAATGACTTCCTACGACTGACCCAAAGCTGTCTCCCATGGCGAAGGCCTATTTTGTTAATAGAAGCTATTGGTATTCCATCCCAATTAAAGAATATCCTTTGACGAATCCTAATTCATTTCCCTAGAAATTATTTAGAAAGCGGAGAAGTCAAAAATAATATATACGTGTACATTTTTTATTTATTTTGCCAATCATTGTAGTTGCAAAATGAAGGATCCTTGCATCTCTTACATCATTATCAAACTATCATATCGCATTAAAACATTTATTTTTTTTAAATGACGTTTGTTTGACTTTACCACAGAAATTGATCTTTGATCTAATCCTTTGAAAACATATTTTAAAGCTTTACTGAAGCGTTTGTACAACAAAGTGTCACTTTAGAATTGTCCTGTTCATCAACAACTGTTAAGTAATGTTTCCATATTTTACACGTGTACCATCTATTATATTTACTTTCCTGGAACAAAAGTTCATAATCCATTTCGCTACAAGAAACAATTTTGTGACAGTTGTCGACAAAAAAGCCAATCGGTCGCAAAGATGTATAGAACAACAACGGACCGTAAAATCAACAGTGACAATAGACAAAATGCGTCTGTAACGTATTCTTCTTTACCAATAGTCTCTGAAGGCTAAAACATGAAAAGCAGTAACAGCTTGGATAATTGTAGCAATAATATAAAAATCAATTAATTAGTGTTGCTTAACGGTAAAATTATAAAGTGACGAAGAACTAACAAGGCAACACATGTTTTATCTTTATAAACTTACGAAATAATACTTTTTATTACTAAACATGTGAGCCATGCTTTAAAATGACGAAATCTATGTATACAGCTGACCTTTGATTATATAATGAGGATGTTAGAAATTCCTCAATAAGAAGACCTATATGTTTTGCATAACGACAGAAAATTTAGAAATACAAAGCTAAATCAATGTACCAAGGTACAACATTAATCAAAATAAAATTCATTTTATGTGAAGCAAAAGGTTTCCGTTGTTTATTTCATTTAAAAATATTCAGATTAATTAATTTTACATTCTTCGATATTTATATATAGAGTTTTACACCAATTTTCAAATGAACTTAGAAATTATATCCGTTTTGGCTATCTGTGTCGTTAGGTTGTTGTCTTATTGAAAACAAATTACACATCTACTTATATTAATATTACAAAGTGTTTAAAAAATAGTTTTCCATCCACTCCTAATCAAACGCAGCAAAATTAGATTTTTTTAATTTTATTCATATAAGTATAACATTATTGAATATTTTTTGTTTGTGTTTTCAGGAAACATGGGCCCAGAAAGCCATTATTTGCCAAATGACATGGTACAACCGTCATCACCTGAACCCTTGAACTTACATGGACACGATGGGCATCATTTTCCTGGTGGTCCACCACGATCTTTTGGTTCTTTGTCTCATCATCCAGAAATGGCAGGAGAAACGTGGGGATGACATAACGAACATCCATATGACCTTCCATTCCAGTGTTGAGAAATATAAAATAGTGAAACAACATTTCAACTGGATCACCGCGAAATACCTCGGTACTGAGAAACTATTTGTTGTTATAATTTCATGTGTATATGTAATCTTTAATTTATTGACGTTCGAATGTTCATTTTTGCCAATGTTCATTTTTATGGTGTTGAATTTTTTTTAATGAATTTGTCCAATTTGAGTGATGAAGTTGATAAAGTCCCGTATTTGTTTTCCATATGATTTTTTTTTTATTTCACTCACGTGACATACGAAAGAGAGTAAAATCGTGTTAAACAGTGTGCTGTTTCCGGCATATTTTTCTACGGATTATTAATTTTGAAACTGTCATGTTAACATGTACATAAAATATTATCATATCATGTTCATGTTGTTTCAATCGTTTGTTGAATGAAAGTTGTATGGTGTATACTTCCAGCGAATCTGTAGAATGTTGTCACGTGGTACATGTTGAATGAATTAAAAAGTGAAATAAAGCGAGATGAAAAATTGAATTGTTTTATTTTTATGCAAGCCTAATACCTATTATCAATGATTAAGACCATACTGCTTGCCTCGACGCTAGAGGATTCTTGGTTTGCTGCAAGGTGTGAGCTCTATTGAGAAAATAGGTAGATGTTGTATGATTGCCAATGAGACAACTATCCAACAGAGTCCAAAATGACTTGATGTAACCAACTATAAGTCATCTTTCGTCCTACCGTAAAGGCAGCAAAAAAGGCCCCGATATGACAAAATGTGAAGCAATGCAAACTAGAAAACAAACGGTCTGATGTATGACAAAATAATTTACGAAAAACAAATATGGCAGACAGCAACCAAAGACAAACATTGAATTACAAGCTTCAGGCTTGTTACTGACACATAAAGAATATTGCGGGATCGCTTAACCATCCCCTAACCTAAGACAGTGGTGTAACAGCACAACATAAGAAAGTGCTGTAAATATCAACTATAATGTATATAGTTCACCATTGAAGACATTCCAACCAACTATCAGGATGGAGAACAGCAATCAAAGCTCTATTCCTCTAATATATTTGATAATATTCTATTATTTCTATCATTAAAAGGAGATGTTGGACATACTTGAATGATACAATAACCCGACAACACAAAAATGAAAAGATATGGAAATATCCAGAGGTCAACATACTGCTTCAATAGAAGACAAGACTATCCGATATGTCACAAATCTCAAACGCACATAGTGTAGAATATATGTGTATACATTTTTAAGACAATCAAATATGTAACATTAACACATTCTTTAATGAACAAAACGAAATGAAAAGGAAAAAAATATTAACTAATTACGTTTTTTTCATCTCATTCACCAGTTACCCTTTTTTTGAATTTCTTATGAATTTATAACAAAGGATCCTTTTGCTTGAACACACTTACTTTGTCCCTTAATAGAATTACTTTTTAGATAACGATGCAGAAAATGCCACTACCATCATTTTTCTTTCGTGACTGTAAATAAAATATATATTAGAAGCTTAGATTGCAGATTTGGTATCTTTTATGCGATGTAAGACATGTGACAAAACACATTTTACAACGAGTGTTTCTATGTTGTGTTTTGTAGACTATTGTTTGTCTTTTGGTCGTTTTTTGTTTTTTGCCATGGTATTGTCAGTCGTTTTTTGTTTTTTGCCATGGTATTGTCAGTCGTTTGTTTTTGCCATGGTATTGTCAGTCGTTTTTTTGTTTTTTGCCATGGTATTGTCAGTCGTCTTTGACTTGTATATGAGTTTGAAAATCCCTTTGTTATCTTCTGTTTCTCTTTTACAACTAGTGCATGCATGAACGACTCTTATTAAAAACAAAGTGTGCAAATTCATCTCAGTTATTATCGCTTAAATCTTATATCTAAAATGTTCATCCAATTTTAGAATTCGTAGTATAATTGAAAATAAATTTAACAACATTACATTTATTATGAAAAATAATTGATCATTTTGATAGAATTACTTGTTGTTTATCGTGCACTGATGGTGGTACATGCTGCTTAAGAATTGTAACTTGTTTCATACGATGAGCATAAGGCGTCGGTAGCTGAATGATATAAGTACTTCACTTACAGCAATCACTAGCCTGTTAACACAGATGTTGCGAGTTGAAACCCTGCGCCTTGTAAGGTGCGTTTGACTCCGATCTTAAATAACTAGGATTGCCAGTTTTTCAGCCGAAGGTTGGTGGTGGTTCTCTCCGGGAACTCCGACTTCCTCCGTAAATGACAACTTGTCGCCATGATATATAAAAATAAGGATATGTTGTATGATTGCCAATGAGACAACTATCCACCAAAGTTCAAATGAAGTGGATGTAAGCAATTATAGGCAACCGTACGACTTTCAACAATGAGAAAAACCCATACCGTATGGTCGGCTATAAAAGGCCCCGACATGAAAAATATGAAACAATTCAATAGCCAAGGGTTTTGAAAGTGACACAGATTATCATAAATGAAGGATAACTTAAAGTATTACAACAAAAACATACATAACGCCATTTCTTATTTCTTCTTAAATATGCAATTTTTTCGAAAGGAAAATAACGGTTCCATAAAACACTCTTCAAATAAAGTAAATCATACAATATAGGAGCAAAACAAAAACAATTAAGACGAAGGTGTGAGTTGTAGCAGTTTGGAGCATATGCTGTCACATAGAATACAGTGAGAAAACGCAATACAAAATAAATCATGGTCATATATAAATTGCAAGAAAAAATTCAAATAAGATACAAATAACTTAGATAAATAGCAAAGGAAAGTATATAATTATAACAGTCATTTTGTGTCGTGAATTATTTACTTTCAATATGCAATTCTGAACCTAACCTAGATGGAGCGATTTCATTTATTGGTTAAAAGACGCAACACTTGAAATAAGACATTGGCATCAATACGCTGTTGGTAAGGTTATTGTTGATTTTTTTGTTGTATTTTTAATCACGTCAATGTTTATTAAAAAAAAGAGCATGCTGTCATTAGCAATGAGAGAGACTAGTGTGTCTGAATAACCTTCGTCGAGTACACCTTAAACTAACATTTTGAGCAGTTAAATGTGTAAATTGTTTTGGAACATCAAAACTTTGCATAAACAGAACATCTTAGTTTAAGAACAGTTAAATAGGTACTGGGTTTTTGCATAGTCCGTATAAACAATTTATACACATGATAAAAAGATGGGTTAATGAAAGAAGGTGTGTTCGATATGTGAAAACTATAAATATTTGTGTAGATCTCAAATTGTAAAAATGGTAGGATCAATTCACCTTGCATTTGTTTCACTCACATGGCCAAAATCTAAAAGTTGTCAAACTCTACTGGAATTTGAATAATTAAACAGTCTATCATATACTTGAATTTTTTTTTTAACCATTTTAAATATTCCGATAAAATCGATTTGAAAATCAGCACTATCGATACATGTTGCTTTTGAAGGCATTTTGATACTAAATTGCAAACATGTTCATGAATTGTTAAAATTTTGCTTTGATTGGCGTTTCTAACCGAAATGAAATAATGTTTATCCGAAAGATAATATATACTTATATACTTCCAGCAGAATTTTGGTTTTGGTTAGCAATGTTCTTATACATTTTCTGGATAAATACTAAAAAATTACCAAAATCTGCATCTGTCAAACATTCGATTCTGAGGTAGCTTCAGACGTTTATCACGTGTACATCTGTTTAGAAATACGTCATAATATGATTGACTGATGATTGATTGTTGGTGTTTTAACGCCACTTTTTAGCGCCACATTTGGGCTATTTCGTGGCGGCCAGTTTTTATTGGTGGAGGAAGCCGGAGTGCCCGGAGAAAACCATCGACCTTCGATAGGAAAACTGACAATCCTAGTCAATTAAGATTGGAGTCGAGTGCACCCGCACGAGCGGGGTTCGAACTCACAACCTCAGTGTTGACTGGCTAGTGATTACAGTAGTAGAACTACATAGACCACTTGGCCACCGAGGCCCCTGATCATAATATGAAGCTGTAAAACTCTGAATTTTAGTAAAGATTGTTAGGCCTTTGGAAAATGACCCTGGTGTGAGATAAATTCTGTGGAAATTGGTCCTACCTGTTGAATCATGTAATTCAATGAATGAATGCAGCAGAAAATTGAGATTTAAAGTGCATTTGTCATAATGTTTACCACACACCATGGCAACGTCCACTTCCATAAAAATTTCAAGTTGGTATAAACATTATGTTTTTGTTTCTTCGTCTTTTTATAAATTGCATGAAGTGGCTGCATGCAGACTTTGCAAAAATGTGTTCTTCAATATCACGAAAAACACTTTTCAATTGCTATAATTCAAATAGGCAGTATTGTATAGATATGTATCTTTTCATAAAGCACAACATTAATATCATGAATACTGCATGTAAATCGGTTTGAAGTCTTCTGTGAAGCTGAGATAAGATTGAATTCTGAAATAAAGAGGTAAAACAATACAATTTAAGCTCTATTTTATGCATCACCGTGCAACATAATTGGTTTTTTGGACTTGATTCAACATCGAGTAGAATCCAATTTTCCCCAATTCTTCTCGTTAATCGTCTTTACCTAGGAATGTGCGGTGATTTTTGTGATTTTTTTATAATTCGTTTTGTTGCAGTTCGCTTTTCACGTTGTATGATAGGTTTTACTGAAAGAAAAATCTGTATAAAACAATATGATTTTAGTGTTCCAATCAAGACGTTAATAAATATTTCGAAATCTAATATAATCCGAATACATTCATTGATGAAGAAATATGGGATTTATATAAAAAATAAATTATCAATTTCTGTCAACTATGCAATTTCATTGTCACATTTATGAAATATGGTCGAATAAAGATGTTTCTATAAATTTATTAAAGATTTGGACAGTCCTTTTGGGCTTTATATTCAAATTGAATAATGGGGCGAATATTTTAACATGAAATTGGAGTACTGAGGAAGTGTAAATTGGAAGTAAAAAAGCCCCTAGATTGTGTAATATTGTCAAAATTTTAAATTTAATCATTGATGCAGAATTGTACGATTGCTAAAAGGGCATATTAACACTGCTTATAAACGCGGGTTTTCCTAAATACATTTTTATCTAGTGTAATAGATTTTGACTACTTTTGCGCTAATTTGAAATCTGTCTTTTAAATTGGATCATGATAGACTATTGTTTGTATCTAAATTGAAATAATACTAATAAAAAGATCATATGCAGTTATTTTTACACATTGCCTTGAAAAGAAAACGACTGAATGTATGGCACAATGTTTTAACCAAATATTCGAAACCCAGTACCCAAACACTTTCAGCTTATGGAACCATATCATTGCGTGTCAAGATCAGTTCAGAAAGCACTATATATATGTAGTCCAGTTTTGCGAGAGAGAGAAAAAAAAACACAAAAAAACTTGATATTAACACTGCATATAAACGCGGGTTTCCTAAATACATTTTTATCTAGTGTAATAGATTTTGACTACT